TTATCAACAACTAACTGTGAAATACGTGCACGGTCCGGCGCATACTTGGCTCATTCTATCGCCCCAGTTGCTAAACGGGAGATAGAGTAGAGCAGCTGGTCATAGTTCGATCTCGCGTTGAACTGGCCTGAATGTGGATAATACTCGCTGTAGATCTCATACGCCCTGCTCGAGGCCACTGAATGAGTTGACGGCGGCCGCGGACTGGAAATTGAGTATCAACTGAGCAGGGTGGCACCGTTTCGGTGATGGTGCGGGAGAGCGTCAGGGTCTGGGAGGACAGTTTATGGTGCCGCACGGACGAGCATCAGAGCACTGAGGCTGAATGCAAGGACTTTGGAGAATGAGAGCATTATGTAGACACCTCATTGTTCAAAGCACAAGGAAGACGAGATGAAAGACACCCTTCAGTACAACCATCGAGCGCGGGTTCAATCAGGAGAGAATGGAATGGAATGTTTGCGTAACTGTGCTCATCGTTGGAGCAGGTCCCTGCTTCCACTCTCCCTGCTTCAGCAAAACCATTGAGCGCACCTTCAATCGGGAGAGGGTTGAATGGAATATTTGTACAATCATGTCATCGCTGGAGCTATTCACTGGAGGTCCTGGAGGTCGTGGCTTCTATTCTCTTCCATTCTCCTTCCCTGTTACATCATTTCATTCATTAGAGAGTTTGCGGTGAGCCACCAGTGTAACTAGTGGCTCCTGGTATAAAATGATATCACAAGCTTTGGGGCTGTGGGTAGCCACTATTTCATCTCCTCCTTAGGAGCTAGAAATAGTGGCTGAACTGGTCCCAGAGGATGGCAAGTTGCAGAGAAAAATTAGCCACCAGTTGATCTGGTGGCTCACTGCAAACTCTCTATTATCCTGTATACGGAGAAACCCTTGTTCTGTGTAATCTTCGGCACCTTCCGAACATGATTGCCGAGGTTCAACCACCACTCAATATTTCGGTCCTCATGCGAAGTTGACCAAAATGCATTCCTAGTCATGTAAGAGTTCTCATTTGAAGTTCTGGACAATTGCATTCATTTATTGAATGCCTTCTCCCTGAAGTTGCTCCCGAGATTGAACTTGCAAGGCAAAATCAACCAAGAGGCTTGAAAGGAGTGTTAAATTAATGTTACAGCAGTCTCGTTGTTTTATAACGGGGGTATTTCAAGGGTTGGGAAAATATTTTCACTACTAAGTTCATTTGGCCGTAGACTCATTATGGCCGTCCCGTCACCTGTCCCGTCCCGTTGGGGCTTTGGCAAGAGGCAGCCACCGGAAGATGCCAGGGGTCTGGGACCCCTTATTTCACTTTTTGGACAAAGTTTCTAAACACTTCAAAAACACGTTTGCACACATTTTTTTAAAAAAAGGGTTTTTTTCGGGTGCCTTATGCCAAATTTTGGCATGACTGAGGTAGAAGAGGACTCCCAGAACTGGTGCGGTATTGCCGGTGCCTTCGGCGGGAGCATCTGCCGACCTGATATCCACGGGCAAAGAGTCGTGGGAACTTGGACAGCGTGGACCATCATTACCCGAGTCAGCGGTGGCGGTGCTCGGCCTAAACGCTATCCCCCAACGCCGTTGCGCGGTTTGATGCCCGTGATGGGACTCTCGCTTAGCACTCGCTTAGCGCGGTCCGCCGCCATCTTTAAGGCGCAACTCTGTTCGTCTTTTATACATGAGCAGGAGCCCGAATACGCTCCTCGCTTCCCCGTTTAACAGCATAATGTATGGACCGTCGAGTGGGAAAGCCCAAGAGTCACCCACCCTTAAAATTTCCATACAGGGTCGGAAAGTACAGTAAGACCCTTCAGACCCCAGCAACGCCGTTGCGCGGTTTGATGCCCGTGATGGCACTCCCACGTCTCGCTTAGCGCTGTCCGCCGCCATCTACAAGTCCCTCCCGCCGTATTCTTTGTCGGTGTCGTGCCCGTCGGCGCATCAAACCGCGCAACGGCGTTGGGGGGATAGCGTTTGCTCTGAAGGGTCTTACTGCACTTTTCTGACCCTGTGTGGAAAATTTTAAGGGTGGGTGACTCTTGGGCTTTCCACTCGACGGTCCATGCATTATGCTGTTAAAACGGGGAAGCGAGGAGCGTATTCGGGCTCCTGCTCATGTATAAAAGACGAACAGAATTGCGCAACACATCCAACTGAAGCAGCTCAGCAGCAGTCCCACCGCCCAACAAACAACCCATCTTAAACACAACCCTACCATGCGCTTCAGCGGCTTCACCCTCCTCGCTCTGCCCTTCGCCCTCATCGGCGCCGCCGCCGCCGCCGCCGTCCGGTCCGAGAACAACCTCGTAGAAATCGTCCCTCCAAGGCCGCCAACAAATCGGTGAACAACACTGCCTAGCCCGCGGGGCGGAATGCCGGCCTAGAGATGTCTGCTGTGACGGGCTCCAGTGCCAGGGCGCCGGCGGCCCCGTCGTGCGTAGCTCCTCTCGGTGTTGATTCCCTGCCGCTGATCCGTTGTTGTAGTTCAGATGCGCGCAGGGCACCTCAAGTGCTCGCTGAGAAAGCGGTCGGAACCCGCCTCCTGGAATGCCGGCAGGGTGTAAGACGGACACGGATGGGACTGGGCGGAATTAAACCGAGCAAAATTAGTATGATGACTCTCAGGGTGGATGAAATGCAGATTTTGTTTCTGAGGTGCATTGTTGCAGAATTGGCGTGAATTCTACAGCTCGAGGATTGGTGAAGAACTTCCGGTAGAACCGTCGGTAAGGTTCCCCGGGTCGGTCTGGAAGCAAAGCATTTAATGGTTTGCGATTGAATTACCAGAAATGGATGGGAGAACTGCGAGATCGAGACGGCAATAAAAAATCCTCACAGAACACTATGTATGGTCTGGCCCGAATCGAACAGATACTCGCATATGGGATAGCATTGCAGGGCTCACTGAAAGCGCGCGCGGACCACCCGCGACCAGGTCTTGTTAGATGTCTGTGAGCCTTTGTGAGCTGCCGTTGAATACACATCTTCTTCAGATGACCGGGATTTGACCGGGATGACGTGGTGCTTTGGGGTGAAGTCAGAATCTCGAAGACACGAGGAGGAGAAAGAGGCATGAAAATTAGGTGAAAAAATGCACTGGCTGTCAATTAGGACGAGAACACTTGCATAATTCTTTACAACGAAAAAAAGGCGTCAATACCTGGCTAAGGCATAGTCCCGAATCGAACGGGTGTCCCAGACGAATTACAAACACTTGACAAATATTCTCTGGGTTCAGACCATCCGCTATCAGGCCTTCGTGGGGGTCTGCTGTGCTTCGTTGAATACGGATTTTCTTCTCGAGGTGGTGTTGAGTGAGCTTGAAACCTAAAACACCGCACCACAGGGGAAAGTGGCCACTAGGACCGTCGCTATGTTGCCCTCCTCAAGTTGAACTAGAACAACGAAGAAATTAGTTTATTTCTATTGAACCAGATGGAATTCGATAGAAAAATTGCAGCGAATGCGACATATCCTGGCCCCGAATCGAACGGGAGTTCCCGGTGGTACTTGCACAGTGGATAGATGCCACACGTTTTCTCGGAGTGCCATCCGCTACCAGGCCTTGGTGGGCATGTTGTGAGCCCTTGTAAATACGTAGCTTCTTTGCAGATGAAGATTACTGGGATAGGGTAAGTTGAACTCTTGTTGGAGACCCGAGCGAAAAGAGACATAAGATTCAGAATTGGGCGTAATAAATCATGTGCCGGCTGCCAATAAATTATGACGGAAACCTTTCACAACGGAAAAAAGAGTTGCTCACCTCGTAAGGCTGAGTCTCGAATCAAACGGGGTATCCACAGGTTAGAGTGCAAGGGATGCGGCATTGGAATTTGAAAGTGGGGGAGACCATCCGTTACCTGGCCTTGTAAGACGCTGTGAGCCTTTCAATTTGTGAGCCCACGCCTTTTTCGCATTTGAAGATGACCGAGATGGGGTACGTTGGAGCATTGTTGGAGACCCGAAGAGCAAAAAGAGGCAAAGGGATTGTTACATACAGCACCCACGGCCTAGTCCCGAATCGAACGGGTTGTCCCAGAAGTACAGAACAATTGGACATCGCCTATTCTCCCTGGGTGCGGGCCATCCGCTACCAGGCCTTGGTGGGTGTGTGTTGAGCACCGCTGAATACTGTAGGTGTGGTGGCCTCGATACCTATTGAATACGGATTCTACTCTTGAGGTGGTGCAGAATTGGTTTGAATTCTCGAGTGTCGAACCGAAGCTTGAGGATTGGGTGAAAGTCGCCACTAGGACCGGCTGATTATGAGGTCGAACTGGAACAAAAATCACTTCATTGTTGAACCAGATGGAATCCGATCAAAAATTCTGCATACTTTCGCATACTATGGGGTGGCCCCAAATCGAACGGGCGTCCCAGTGGTACTCGGAGTTTGAATCGTACACGTTTCCTCGGGCGGACCATCCGCTAACCGGCCTTGTTATCAGATGTCTGTGAGCCTTGCAAGTTGTGAGCTTTGCAAGTTGTGAGCGTTGTTAAAAACACACCTTTTGCGCAGTGGAAAGATGGCTCAGGATGAGATGGGTCTTTGGCGTCGGGTTAGAGCTCTATTGGAGACACGAGGAGGAGAAAGAGACGTGAGAATTAGGCGAAAAAAATGCACTGGCTGATAATTAGAACGCGAACAACTTACATGCTTCTTTACAACGAAAAAAAAAAAAAAAGGTTTTATCACCGCCCAAGGCCCAATCCCGAAGCAAACAAGATACCCACAGATTATGCAGTGCAGCAACTGTTGTGGTATTGAAAGTGGGCGCGGACGATCCGCTACCAGGTCTTGTTGGGGGTGTGCCAGTGAGCCTAGCTCAATAGCTACCTTCTTTGCAGATGACCGGGATGGGGTAAGTTAACTTTGTTGGAGACCCGAAGAGCTAAAAGAGCGGTGCGTGGCTTGCTGATAGTTTCTTGGAACGACTCGGAGAACCCTGCTTCTATTCTTAAGCGCAATGGCCAAAAAAAAAAAAGAACTTTGCTAGTATCTCCGGCCTAGTCCCGAATCGAACGGGAGACCCACAGTCACTGACGCTTCCGATATATTGAAAGTGGGCGCGGACCATCCGCCACCAGGCCTGCAAACAATATACACTCACCCGGTTATCCAGTGAATTTCCGATACTGTACGCAGTTGTTGCAAAAACTGAAAATCCGGTGCTATGGCGGTCCCACTGGCAGTGATGCGGAGTGGGTGTTTGCACCGGATATTTCGGAAATATTATTTCCTGGGCGTGGACCATCCACTATTGGCCTTCGTGGGTCTTCGTTGAAGGCGGATTTCATTTTCGAGGTGCTTCAGGTCGGCGATAATGTTCAAAAAAAAATTGTCACCAGAACTGCTAATAGTAAGCTCCTCCAGGTTGAACTGGAACCCAAAATCCGTTCATTGTTGATTCTTGAACCACATGCAATTCATCAATAATTGTCTTGAGTAGCGTGGCCTGGCTCCGAATCGAACGGGGTATCCACGCGACGTGCGTTCAAGATCAGCAGGTATGGGCGCGGACCATCCACCATAGAGCTTGATATGTGCTTTTTGTCCACCGTGATGATTTGATATGCCGACGACTCAGACTGGAGCGATCTTGGGAGCGATTGAAACACCACGACATCATGATCAATTAGACATGGCCCCGCGCCTGCACGCGTCGTCAAGCGCAACGCCTAAGCACAAGAGCGAACCTGAGACATTGCCAAAGCAGAACAAGAGCACAACGCAGCCGCTTAGAGAAACAAGGCGGCGGATCCCGGCCCGGCCCAAGCGTGCTCTGGGTCACAGCATCAGTCACACGGTAACGGCCTCGACCTTGTTCCTTTTCTTCGGCAAAGCATCCTTTGAGGCTCTCCGCGTTCCACGAAGCCACGGTAGGTTCTCTAAGCTTCGGGATAAAGAAGAGGAGGCTGACGCCGTGTGCAGAAACTCATGATCATACGACATGATGCACAATTCAGGTGCGTTGGTGGGCGTCTTTTTTATCTTCGAGTTCTTGGAGACCAAGGGCGGCAAGGGGACGCGTTTGGGACGTCTCGGGAGGTTCAATGGGCGGCGTGGATGAGCGATATGGCTTGGGCGGCTCTAGGCATCTCGAGGACATCGTTGGCGGCCATGGCGACTCGACTCTGGAGGATACCCCACTCGGTGCTTCGTCTTTGGGCTCGTTCCGGGTCTGTGCACTCCTGTGATGCAGAACGAGCTACGTGGCGTGCATACGAGATATCCCACTCCCGAGCCCACCGTTGGCAGGGGTCTGACACCTTGCCATCTCGCTGCTCTGTACGGTGTTACGCTGCCCCTTGCTTCTGTTCTACATCCGTTGTCTCTCTCTCTTTGCCTCGTTCGTCGCCATCTGCTATTCGGCCTGCCTCGCCCTGATGGATGCATGATGCACGCGGTCGCCCGATCGGTATCGGCAGCGCTATATTGGTGCCGCGCCCGCGCGCTGCGTGATTTTTATTTTTATTTCCTCGTTTTCCTCGTTTTACATATTCGCATTATTGCTCGTCATCCTCTCGTTTCTAAAGTCCTGCGTACTGACACATCTACATTTACAGAAGCCTCCGAGAACTGGGACGACGACTTTGAGTTCCACAGCAACAGGACCGCGACGCGGCCCCCGGAGCACGAGATCCGAGCGCACCTCTTGCAGCACGGGGAACACGACAATGACAATAACAACCACGCCTACGACACACAACAAGACATAAGCCATGAACGACCCGCACGCCACCGCGACTCGCACGAGACGACAGAAAACTGGGACGAAGACTTTGCGGAGGACGAGGAGGAGGAGGGGGACGACGCGGATGCGGATGCGGAGGAGGAGGTGTCGTCGCCTGCTTCGGGCGACGCGCCCGCGAGTCTGCTTCGGGACCCCGAGACCAATGCGGCTGCCAGTACCTCCGCGTTCCCCCCGCCCACCGCACGCGCCACCCAGCGCACGCCCCGCGCGAGCAAGATCCAACAACGCATGCGCGCAGGGTCGGGCGCGACCGCGCGCCAGGGGCAGGGCGGGGAGTGGGGCGACTCGAGCGACGACGACGACGAGTTCGGCCGTGGGTTCGAGGAGGACGGGGAGGACAGGACCGTCACCGCGCGCTCGCGGCGCAACCTCGTGTACACCCTGAATTCGAGCCCGCCGCCGCCCGTGCCGCCTCTTCCAGGTGGGGGTCACACCCGCTAGTAGTATCGGGCGCGGTGCGGGGATGGGGATTGGGATCAACATTCCCGATGCGGGGGGAAGCGGGCTGCAGCCCTTCCCGCGCAGCCCCACCGCGTCCGTTTTCTCCGCGCCCGACAGCGCCTCGATCGCGTACACGCACACCTCCGCGGGGAGCACCACCGCCCTGAATCGGCCCACGCACCCGCAGCACAAGGCGCTGGCGAAGGGATTGGCGGGGCTGCCGCCGAGCCCGCCGATTCATCGGGAGAGGCGGCGGTTGAGGAAGAAGAGTCGGCCGTCCGGGAGTGGCGGCGGAGGAGGGGGTGGGGTGGAGATGCGCGATCTGCCGAGGCGGGGGGTGGTTAGGGAGAGCTCGGAGGAGGCGACGGGAGAGGAGGAGGAGGATTGGGATGCCGAGGATGGGATTGGAGCGGGTGCAGGGGCAAGCGCGATCTACGGCCCCGGCGCGGGGGCGGGGGCGGGGAGCAGCAGCAGCGCGGCGTATGCGTATCCGAACCACCACACCCCGTACACCAACAACGCCAATAACAACTCGCGCCACAGCACGAACGTGTACCCGCACGCGCATCCGAACGGCTCCAGCACCAGCGCGCGGACGCCGTACACGGGAACAAGTGCGAATGGGAGTCAGAGCCATGTGGCGCTGGGCACGGGGGTCGCCGGGGCCGGGGCTGCTCGCGCGGATTGGGAGCGTCAAGCGGTGGGGCTTCGGTGATAAGGGTGAGAAGGCTGAGAGGGCGCGGAGGAAGAAGAGCAGCAGCGTTAGTGTGGGGAGTGACATGGGGTTGGGGGGTGAGTTTGCTTTTCTTTCGTTTCTTCTCGGTGGCGGGCCTGGCCTTTTTTCTTTGGTTTTTTTTTTTTTTTCTTTTTTGAGACGAGACAATTTTCTGATACACTCGTTGCAGAGCCCGACCTCGACGTCATTCACGACATCACCGAGCACATCGCGAACGAAGCCACGCCCCGCCCGCCCAGCCAGGCCAACTCGCTCCTCGGCTCGCAGCATTCGTCTGAGTCCCCCCTCGCACAGGTCGCGCGGTTCCCGCTCCGGGTCGGGCTCGCGCGAAGGGTCGGGCTCGCAGGCGCAGTCGCGCCACTCGTACGCGCACCCCGCGCCCGCGACGCCGCCGTCCAAGGGCCACCGGCATTCGCAGTACACGCCCAAGACACCACCGCAGACGCCGCCGGAGCGGGGGGTGGTTTTTTCGGGGCGTCTCGGGGGAGCGCGAGCAGCAGCAGCAGCGGGGGACGCGGTTTCGGGGCGGATCCGGATCGGGAGCCGGGGGTGGTATGGGTCGAGATGGTGCCGCTGGGCAAGGGGGGGCGGCGGATTTGAGTGGTGAGAGGCCGTATACGCCGACGCCACATGGGGGCGAGCGAGAGGGCAAAGAGAAGGACGGAAAGACGAAGCTGGTGAAAAGGCGGAGTTTGGGATTCGTGCAGATTCGGCGGGCGATACGGCCGTTGAATGGGGGTGCGGAGGGGGAGGATGACAACGCGACGCCGCTTGCGAATCCGCAGGCGACGAATCCGACACCGAACGCGAGCCCGAGCAAGTATGGGGTGCTCGGTGTGGGGCGGCCGTCGGGCGCGGGGGTGGGGAGCGTGGAGGACTTGGGGCGCCACAAGGACAAGGAGAGGGAGGGGATGGGCTTTGTGGAGCGGAACGTGCGCCGGATCAGTCTTGTTGGGCAAAGGCACAAGCGCAACAAGAGTGGGGTGTCGATTACTGCGCTTGGGGTGTCGGGTGACGAGAAGGAGAACGACGGCAAAGGGAAGAGGGCCGGGAGCGAGAAGCGGTCGATCGATGGACTCCCGCCGCTGCCACCGCCTACGCCACCCGTTGACGTGCAGGTCCAGTCGCCGTCACCCGCCGCAGACTCTGCGCTCCACCAGTGCGAGCACGGCCACGATGAAGGCCTCCGCACCCATCAACATCGGCGCGTCTCGCAAATTGGAGGTGCACCCCTCTGCGTTCTCCCCGACGTTCTCGTCTAGTCCTGGGTCAATCTCGCTGGCCTCACCGATTTCGTTGGCCTCCTCCTCTACTCCCTCCCTCATGCCTTATTCCGCGGCATCCTCCCCGCCCTCCCACTCCCATTCGCACTCCACCTCGCCGTCGCCGAAACCGCCTGTCTCACCGCAGTCAGCGTCGCTCGGGCGGTCCGCGGCTGCCCACCCTGTCGTCACTGCGGCGGCGGGGGCGGCCAGCAGCCCCTTGGGTGCAGCTGGGACGGGGACGATGCGGCGCAATTCGCTGGGTGATTTGAAGATCCCCGCGCGCATCAGCCAGGCGCAGGTTGGGTTGCGGCGGGACTTGGGCATGGTACGCGAATTCGCGCGGAATGTCGAGGGTACGGTTTTTTCTCCGCTCTCTAATTGCAGATGGCTAATGAGTCCCTTACAGAGCTCAAAGACCTGCAAGGCACGTACCAGACCCTCGTGCTGGAGGTGCAGGGGATCCTCGACATGCACGTCCTCCATCCGACGCAGTCCAGGGAGAAAGCTGAGAAGGAGCCCACACGTACCTCTCCGACGTTCTTCAAGCGCCATCGCTCCAACACCTCCACGTCAGGCTCTTCCCCCACCGTCCAGCAGCAGACGCAGCAGCAGGCGTACAAGCAGCTCGCCTCGGCGTTCTACACCATCAATTCCAAGTACCGTATCTCGTGGGAGTGCGCGGAACTGCTGATCGAGCTTGGGGGCGGTGGGACCTCCTCGCCGCCAAGCACGAGCACGTCGGCGCCGGCGATGCAGCAGTCTGCTGTGGGTGGGAGCGACGGGCTGAAGGGCGCGAAGAAGAGCAAGCGCGAGCGGGCGATTACGCTGCAGGACGATGCGAAGGCGCCCCCGGCGCCTGGGCCCGTGACGGCGACCGCGAGTCTTGGCACGGTG